CTTTTTTAATTTTTTTTTTTACCTATAAACTGAATGAAAATTTACGCAGAACTTGCATTAACAAATAAATTTTTTCTTACCTCTTGAATGTATTTTTTATAGCCTACGTCACTTGTGATACGTTTGTGCAAAGGTGTATAACATCCAGAAGGATATGAGATATGCTTTTTTTTTTATTAAATCGATCTAGGCTTGTCTGTCCGTTTTTCAGTCTAATGTATGTTCGTGTCTGGCTCGTGTTCAACCTATCTATGGGTCGCACTCTTTGAGATACTTCGATGAATATTTCGTATAACGAAGTGTTTTGGCCCAATCCATTGAAAATGTTTCGGATCGGACCATATGCCATATAACGCCTTACCGTAGATATATTGAGTTCTTCCGTACGAATGATGCGAATTTTTTTTTTTTTTTGTTCGCATTGCGGCCATATGTAAGGTATTGAAATCGCATGGAAAAATAGATAGATATACGTCTTCACAATCAATCTCTTTTCTTTCTTTTTTTTTGATTTCGTGAACAGGTAAAGTGCTCGAAAAGAAAAAAGCTATCTATACCTTACGGTAAAGTAATGCTTTGAGTAATAATTTTTATTCTTGAAAAGAAATGATTTCATTCTTATTGAAAAATCCTTTATTCCTTTGAGGTGCTCGGGTTATCCAAGATTCAAAGTCAAGCAAATATAAGTAAGTTTCCTATAAAAGGATAGTTTTTATGGTATTGGGAAGTTTTCCTTTTTTCACCTTTAATTAATTGAATAAAGTTTCTCTTAGGTTTCTAAATTTTCAAAAAACTATTTGATTAAATTTCTATACAAAATTTTTTAAAGAAAATTTCAACGAATACAACGATAGATAGATAGGCAGGTAAAAAAATAGCTTCAGATTTTTTTTTTTTTGCTTTTTGTTCAGTTTCTTTTAAGGGACTTTTCTCAATTATTTTCTGCTGTTTTTGTTTTTTTTTGTTTTTTTGGTTTTTTTTTTACATTACATATAGATGCGAAATTACATTCGGATTTTCATGTTTTTCATCTTCTTTTTTATTTTCGTAAGAAAAAAAATGTCTGAAGGAGTTATATACGCTTTAAAACGAATCTCTTGAGTACTCCTTCCAATCGAATAAATTCAAGTCAAGATTAATAGAAACTTGCAAAATATTGATTGATTGATTGATTGATTAATTGAATAAAATCGATTGAATATTTTTTCAAAATTTTACATCGATTTTTGCCATGAATGCGAACTGTTTGATAAACATATTTTTTGCTGTAATATCTTGCAATCTTTCAGCTTTTGTGCATTGCCAGCCCAGAAACGGAGCAAGCGCGGTCAACGCTTTCCAAACTTGATCTTCCATCTGGTGGATCTAAAAGTCTATCATACAAATTTCGAATTTTTACTTTTAGTTTGGTTGTGGGATAGCGATGGTTTTCAACAAGCACTAGACAGATAGACAGACATACATAAAGCGATGCAAAATTTGGTTCTTATCCAATTTGAAGGGTCGTAAGTTGGGTAAACGAAATGATAAAACTTGCATGCTTCTTTTTCTCAATTCTTCAATGTTGGGAGCGAAAAGGTTGTCTATTACTAACGTATCCTTACCATACAATACGATAGCAGTCAATGTTTTTTTTTTTTTTATTTTTCTTTTAACCGTTTTTCCCTTATTCGTCCAGGTCGTCGGTAGGATAGATTATAAGAAAATGGGAGTTAAAAACCTTTCAGGTACCTTTTGAAAAACCAAACCACTATATTTCCTTTTTGTTTTTTTTTCTTTTCATTTTTAAGGATAAAAAGGAACATGAAAGAAAAGGAGAGCAAAAGGATGTTGTCATAAAAAAAAAAAAAAAAAAATTCTACATTTTCGTCCAGAGCATAAAATCCGTTCTGCTCTTATATTTCATTTCATTTTCTGGAAAGTGGCAGCAGTCAAGAAATTCTTTCTCGTTAAAAATACCAAAATGCGACATAAAAAAATAAAACAAAATAAAATTTGAAAAAACCTAAAAGGAAACTTTAACACACAACCATGAAGTAAACAAATAAAAAAAAAAGAAGTAAAGACGCGTACATATGAATATATGTACGAAAACGAAAATGAAAATGAAAAAAAACAAAACAAAAATGACAAGAAATTTGCTGTACACAGACATTATACATTAATATGAGGTTCATAGAAAAGTTCGTAGAGCGGTTAATAGCACATCAAATCTATAATCGAGACTTGTTTTGCACTTTCTTCTTTATATATATATATATATATGGATGCATATACATATGGGAAGTACCCTAGACCGCCCTACGTCAAGTACCGATTTTTCAAAATTGGGATTTATATCGAGAGTGATCGAAAAAGTGGCCGGATTCGAACCATTTTCAATAGCGTTCATCCTCGGGCCAAAACACGTTAGTGAACCAATTTCACCAAAATACTTCTGCAATTTCGATCTATCTCGTTGAAGACGAGAATAATGAGAAGACAGACGCACAGACAAACTTATTTAGAAAGTGATTCTGAATCGATCGGTATAATAAAAAAAGATGAGACTATCTCAAGCCCTTCTTCTGCGTGTCGCATACAACCGCGCAAACTTAATATATGCGTGTATCAAAAGTAATATAGGAATACATAATATGATGATAGCAGCAATCTTAGGCTTTCTTGTCGCAGTTCAAGATTTATTTACCCTTCTACTTCCCTGATAAGCTTTCTTAGCCTATAAAATACACATCCGATTTGCAATTTCAATTAGAAATCGATTGTCTACGATACCCATTACTATATTTCATCGGGCGAAACTATACCTGAAATGTGAGACTTCAAACGTCTTAAACACGCAAACATCTTCGACTTTGTTATTGGCACGAAGCATTATATGGGAATGCTGACGGCAGAGAACCAAATCATGAGAATGGGGAATTATCGGACTCAGAGCAAAGACAACGAATTAATTGCAAAATTTCTGGACCCAACGGTGGAAGTGAAAAAAGGTCTTTCTTAACATTACCTTATCTCGGGAGTGTACTTCATGTCATGAAATGTAATTATTTAAAATGCAACTCTGTTTTTAAGCAATCTTTACAATAAAAAAATTTCGATCTATTATTGTAGTAAAATCTACGATACGAAATACTCTATATCTAGCTATAAGGCTCTCTTTCGTGACCGCAAGTTCCTTGCAAGACTAAGCATTTAGTTGTCGCATTTGAACTGCACTGTCCTATACAAGACAATGTGTTCTACCTCAAACTCCGCTCTTAGTGTTTATCTGAAAGTGTTGATCGTAAAGTAAAACTAATCCTCAGATCATATTCTATATGTGTTTACCAATTATAACCAAGTCCTTACAGCTGTTTATAAATCATTACTTTTCAAAATGGTAGAAATGAAACTTCGCCTTCAGTTTTTGTACTCTTCAAAGTTCTTATTAAAAAAAAAAAAAAACAATGTATTCTCTCCCGATTGTCTTATGACGAATCGTTGTTACATACCGCTCTCAATTTGCATATAAAAAATCAAAATATGAAATGCATTTGTTGCCGGCGTTAGAGCAATCGAATTCCCATGGATTTTAGGTCGATAGATCTTTGATTATCTAGAATGTAGTTGGCCAAGGAATCGTCTTCTCTTTTGTACTGAGCTCTTTTAATTATCCTGGAAAAATGTTTATACAGCATATGTTTTCGTCTAGCAAGCCATCATGAGTACCATGTTTCTTAACGCCTTACACGCGCGTTAAACATATTTTGTAGTTAGCAAAAATAAAGGCAAGTAAATAATATACCTCTTGTTTTGTAAGTGAGCACAAAAATTACACTAACTTTCATTAGCTTTTGTAAGAATAGACACGCTGGCAGACAGATAGACACACGGACAGACAGAAACTTGCCATATATGTATCCATATAAAGGACGATGCTGTCGAATTAAAATAATTATGCAAATCATTTGCGGGCCTTTATGTATCCGTGCGATCCGTGAACTTTTCAATTAACTTTGTACATGATTCCTATGTATGTAGGTACGAATCTTTTATTTTATTCATTCCGCGACCGACCATTACCCATCTACTATGCAGCAGTCATCTACTTAAAAACATCATCATTACCATTAACAACATCATTATTATTATTATCATCATCATTATTATTATCATAATCATCGTCATTCTATACCAATATATGAGCGTACAGTCAGTCACAGTCACTCATCATAGCCTCGTTCTCCACCCTCTTCTATTTTATCTTACTTCCATAACAAAATGTATGACAATGGGTTAAAATTGTTGTTGTTTCTGTTTTCTCCTGTATTTTCTTTCTTTTCCTTTATTATTATTATTGTTGTTGTTGTTGTTGTTACGTATATAAAAATAATAATAATAATAATAATAAAAAAAAAAAAATAATAAAAAAAACAAACAAAAAACAAAACATTCAAATTGTTAAAAAAAAAGGGGTTGCCTCGCCTTTCTCGCCTGCCTGCCTGCTTGCTTGCTTGCCTGCTTGCCTGCCTTTTAACAAATGTGAAAATATCCTTTAAAAAAGAGAAAAACAAAAAAAAGAAAAACTGTTAAAAAATGGAAAAATGAAGAA